GAGAGAGAGAGAGAGAGAGAGAGAGAGAGAGAGAGAGAGAGAGAGAGAGAGAGAGAGAGAGCTAAGCTACACTAAAAACATATTAAATCGTATATGCATGTCTTGGTTAAAAAGCGTCAGCCCTCCTAACTGTAAATATCTTCCTACGCTACTGTGTGACAGTTCTAGCATGTTTTGCCTGTCGTGTTTTTACTTAGCTGAAAGCTATATACAGTGCCCAGTTTATAGCTGCATGAAAATTACCCCCTCTCCTCAAGGGAAACCCGCTCCGCCACCACTGCAGTAGAGTTTAGTTTGGTTAGTTCTGGCCTGTGCTTCGGGGGTTCCTGTCCGGGTCCTCCGGTTTCCTGTCCATCAAAACCTTACCTTTGGTATAAGACAATTGAGATGCGACTTGGAGAATTAGAATATATGCATGTGAAAATATTCAATAATTCAACATTTCAAGATGCAAAAAGTTGCTCAAAGAGCAATTAATTTCAATCAGCATAGTTGATTCGCTTGCAAATTAGAAAATCTATTATTTCCCTTACGTGTACCTTCTTTGTCTATATTTTATTTTACACCGAAGACATTTTGGGACGGTACAAACATTATTTTAATGACAGTTCTGTTCTTAAGAGACTTGCAACAATTCCCTTGAGAATTGAAAAACAATTAAATGCTGCCATGTTGTTGCCAAATTCAATGAAAGACAATGAGACTCTTTTGTTAAAATACCACCGGTGTGAAACATAAATAATGATTGCACAGCTGAATACTTTGACACCTACATTTTAACGCTTCCAGTCTCAGCAAGAGTGTCCCTATATGTCGTGTGTCGTGGGTTAAAAGTCGTAGGTAAAGTCGTGGGTCATAAAATGTGCTAAAAACGCATTTTTTCACGAAGATATTATTTTTATTTTTAATATTTTTTTCGTACTTTTTCCATTTATGCATTAGATAAATACAGAAAAATTTAACGCAACAAATCTCCAGTAATAAAATAATTTCTTATCTTGCTGTTATCTATATAGTATAACAAGTAAGTGTTTGATTTTGTTTCCGTTTCGTCAGTATAGTCTAATAAGCTTATAGAGTATAAATGTATTGTTTGATGATAAAATGTCTTAAGTTATAGGATATAGGTTTATCATGCAGTTAGCTTTGGAAGTGTTATAGTCCCTATCATGAATTACGTCGCGAATAACTATGTCGATTGCATATGTCTGATACAAACATATTGAGCTATAAATTTTACGCTGCGGTGCCTGTATAATTAGTGGCTAAACGCTCTAGCCTGAAATTTTGCTATTTTATCTACTAGACCTAGTATATGTTCGTGGCCCTTAAAGGTAGACAAACATTTCATGCGTATGTGGCGTTCGGAAATATTCCATAAATTGCTACGAAATTAAACGATATGTATATGATTACAATCCGCGCATTATGTATTAACAGCTGAAAAGTGTAGAGGTATCATATTCTGTCAAAATAACAGCGACTAGCGCGCTCGGTTGGCAAATAGCCCGACATGGCGACATCGCACAAATTATTTCGGTTTTCAATCGCGAAATCCCAAATCGTAGCAATTTATGGAATATTTCCAAACGCCACATACACATGAAATGTTTGTCTACTTTTAAGGGCCACGAACATATACTATAGGTCTAGGAGATAAAATAGCAAAATTTGAGGCTCGAGCTTTGGTGTCGGAGACTGGGTACGAACAGTGTTAATTTTGTTGAGTTAAGCACATTTTTGTGAGACTTGTGAGAGCGAAGTGAGATTTTATAGCGAAGCGATTTCTATTATTAAATATAACTTTTAAACTTTAATTTGTGAGTGATTTT